CTTGCATATTGGTCTTACATCTACGTTGGTTTTACAATTTAGTGTATTCTAATGGCGCTATTTAAAATACAATCGCAGTTTACAACATATTAAATTTTAGCCACTTCGTGCCGCCTGCCTCCGCATCCTCCTCCCCCCCCCCCCCCCAGCCTTCTTCCTCGTAAATAACTATATATATACAAAGTATTGACTTCTAATAAAAGCAAAATTGTGCAAAGTTTTTATAAATTTCAGACATTAACATATCTTGAACCATTTGGCTTATTAAGTCAAAACTTGAATTACCATAAGAAAGAAAAATTGTTGCGGCATTGCTTTGCATGGTTTATCACAAAATTGCAATTCAAACTTCAAGACAGTGATATTAGATAACGAGCAAAATTCATTTATAGCCACTCGGGCCAAACTTATATCCTCCGGTAGCCACAAAATGACTTCATACAAGTCATACCCTAAAAACAATAATAAGAGCTAGCAACTGAAAAGGATCTAAGATTCGGATTTCTTTAAATCAAAGGTAAACAGGCTTGAATTCTTTAAACCGGAGGCCGAGCCTAGACATCTGTAAGCAACTTGTGATTGATTTCAGTTTAAAACAAGGTATGCAATGGCCGGCCGCCGCGAGCTGCCACGCGGAGGTGGCGATGAGTGGCCGGGTATGCCAACCCAACATTAAACACCCATCGTTCTATTCAACTCTGTAACCATCGCCTCCGGCAAACAACGCCAACAGCATATTCGCCTGCTTAAATGCATTCGAATCGAGATGAATCGGATCGAACCCGGCCAAGTTCATCCTAACTCGCTACTGACTCAGTGTCTCGTGTCGTTCAACTCGGTCCGCACCTTCACAAGCCACCACGTTACATATCTGTCTCCCCAGTTACACCTCAGACGTAACCAAATCTTGATTGTTAATATCGGCCGAGTCAACCAGTGGATGATGATGATACTGAACTCTCTAACGCATCAAACATTGTTGAATAATAATGTAATGCCTCGTTAAACTTGTCTAAAAAAACACTAGCGTTATGATTCGCTTCTTGTTCAACAATCGTCACGATATTCGGGTTCATTTGTTTGATCAAATTCAACACTTTTTCTATAGCCCCAGGTCTTGCTAATAATTTGTGCAGCTCGAAAACAGAATTAACAGTCTTACAGTCACCCCTTCTGTTTCAGTACTTGACCTTAGATCGAGAATCTCAGCACCAATATCTGCTAATGAGTTTGTTACAAATCCCCGAAATTTGAATTCGACCCCAATAGTTTTAGCTAATTGCACTAACTTCCAGCCAACTTGTTGCAAAGCGTCGGGTGGCCTTTGCCGAAAAACTATACTATGTATAAGTTAAAATACTACTTGTTGTTGATTAAAAATAAATTTTGAATGCCCTTGCATAGTTCATTGGCAAAGGATATTCAAAATTTGAATCCTTATTGAATTTTTTGGCTTCGCCGGAGGTCCAATTCCAGTAAGCCTAAATGTTGATGGTCCACCTGGACGTAAAGCTAAAGCTTGAATAAGTGCTGGCCATTGCATACCTTGAATTCTTTGATTTTTGTTTTAATAGAAATGTCAGCAGCTTCTTAGTTATAAATTTCTATACAAAATAGTCTATACACATTGGATAGATAAGGTTAAGGTAAAAGAATAATATATACACTTTTATACATCATACAACAGTCTATACACGTTGGATAAATAAAAGTGACCGGGATATAAAATATATACGAAATAGACTGTCACTATACAAAATAGACTGTTACTATACAAAAAATAAACAAAAAAAAATACAAAAAAGACTGTCACTGTATAATTTATATAAAATACACTGTCACTATACAAAATATATTCAAACTAGACTGTCACTATACAAGAAAATATACTAAATAGACTGTCACTATACAATTTATATACAAAATGACTGTCACTATACAATTTATATACAAAAGAGACTGTCACTATACGATTTATATACAAAATAGACTATCACTATACAAAAATATACTAAATAGACTGTCACTGTACAATAAATATACAAAATAGACTGTCACTATACAAAAAATATACAAAATAAATATTTCGGGCTATTAAATGTAATATGTTTGGGCCGAATGGAAAATTTGTGTCAATAAAAAAAATATGGGCTATTAAAATTTTGAGAGGCTATAGAGGGTCATTTTCTCATTAAATAACTTTATCTTGTCACAACGGGTGATTGACAGGATTGGCCTACAAGGGGCTGATCTTTAAATATTGTCCTCGTTTTAAAGGTATATAAAAATGACCCTCAAACCTGCACACACAGTTATTGTTCTTTATGGATTTCTCTGATAAGTAGAGTTTATGTTATTATTTACCCGTTAAATAGTACAATTGAAACGTGATTTATAGACAAGTGAATTAATTTGATCCTCGAATAATAGATGAATTAGATGAATATGATACTTAGCCTTGAGATTGAGGTAAAATAGCAGAAATGACGATTCCGGGAGCAAGGTTTCCAAGCACAATAGCAATGATAACAACAAATAAGAAGATAAAATTATATTGAGCTTTCGATAAAGTGTAGCGTATATTTGCCAGAAAATTCGTGTCCCTCATATGATAATAGAGCTCATTATTTATAGCTGCACCTAGAGAACAAGGTCCTAGGATCAAGCCCATCTTTAATGTCAATTATGAGGGCCATTGAAGAAAGTATAACAACAAGCAATGAATGTTATATTCTTTGTAACCGACCATGTACTTAATGCTATAGAATATTCCTCATTTAATGCTACCGGGCGACAAACATTTATTTCATCTTTGTGAGTGTTACTCTCTCCGGTAACAGACTAGATTGTCGCCTTCGGAATTAACTGTCTTCTGTCTTCGGCTCCACGCGTCACTTCCTTATTCAATCATTTAATGTAACCATATTTTACCCTATATAGATAGTCCCCTGCTTTCCGATGGTGTAACTTTATGTCACCGGAAAATTGGTAGAAAACACCTCTTTTTGGTGGAAAAATCACTGACCTTCCCCGAAAAGTTTTCTAATGGTTGATTAGATGCACGTCTCTCCGTATTTAATGCTCCGAATATGCGTCATCCCTTGATTTATGATTAGTTTTACCGGTTATCGAGGTAATTATGACCTTGATTTTAGCCGCCTATTTCTTCACTTATACGCATCAAACTCCTTCATTCACACCTCATAATTCTTAAAACTTTCTCATACTCTCTTCATTCAACTCGTACTCTGTCTCCAACCTTTCTTTAATTTTCTTCATAAGATAAAAGCTTTTCCTTCTTCTCCAAAACATAATGGCTTCTTCTTCTAAAAACCTTAGTTTCTCAAAGAACAAAGGCAAAGCCGATGAGGCTGCTCCTCCTACAGTGAGCACCATCATCCCAGAAGTCTCGTCACAATTAAAGACTTCGAAGAGAAATTTCCTTCTGCTAACCCTCGTACATGGGCCGTTGGCAGATACCTTTCTTCCATCCATCATTCCAGTATTCCTGCTGTGAAGGAAGATTGTTGTTGCCACGATTTAGACATTATCGATACTGATCTGGCAGAGTGGGTAACCCTACCCAAGAAGGGTTTTAAGTATTTCTATACGTATCACTTCACTTTGGGGGCATTTTCTCTGAGTGGAGAGCTTGACTCCGTCATTGTGGAGTTCTACCTCCGCTATCAGGAGTGTGTGTCATAATTAACTCCTTTCGTGTGGAGGACGATCGCTTATCTTCGGCGCTTGTGCCAAGAAACGGGAGAGGATTTATCCCTAGCTCACGTGATGAACTTCCCCCAAGATCTTCCGCGGGAGAATGATAAATTTCAGCAAACGTGGCCACCATGCTCTGCTATCTAGCATGGATGATTACAATGACCGTGGGTGGATGACAAGGTCCGTCGCAACTTCCACCAATGATATCATTCCGGAACGGCTTCATCCTTTCCGGAATCATGGACCCGTACTCGTAAGTTCCTTGTTTAACTTTTCTTTCATTAGAGATAATCTCATATCATTATTGACCCTCTTTCTTTCGCCTGTTTCAACAACTCGATGGGTATCACCTAGGGTTGAAGGCTTGGACCAGTGGGTCCAGAAAATCTTGGACGTTACTATGCCCGAGACCCACGTGTGGAAAGAATTGGCCCTTCAATACGGGTGGAAGACCAAAAATCATGCTAACTTGGATTAACCTTGTCTTTGTATTTCGTGTAAGGAAGTTGATTAATCCTTTCTCTTTTTGCTGAATTCACGTCTACCCGCGGGCTCGGTTGTCGTCTGTGAGGAGGATGTTTTGGCTGACCATGTTAATGCAGCGAGGTTGCTTCAAGAGGCGTTTACTCAAACAGGCATCTCCGGTCCTGCTTCGGGTGCAAGTGTTTCTCTCTGGAGTCCCCGATCGGAGAGAAAGCAAGCAAGAAAGAGACGTTCCTTCGCGGCCGGGAAAAAAAATAAAAGGGTTAGGAGTGCCGTGTCCGAAACGTCTTTAGATATTGTGGTGTCGAGCGACGCGCCCGAGTCGGCCATAGATATTGTGGCTATTGATGATGATGGAGAAGCTAGTGATGATGGGGCTTCTCTACATAGAAGACAACGACCTTCATTAACTTAACAGAATGCTCAATCTGCTGAGTTAGTTACACCAACCTACACTACCAGAAAATAGGCCTATGGGAACAATTGTTCTGGCAACGGTTATAAAACCGTGGCAATAGAGTAGATATGGTAACGGTTACAACCGTTACAATAGAATTGAATGTAATGGGCACACTTTAGATACTAAACCGTTCCAGTTGACGCTTCACCGTTACCATAGGTGTTATTTATAGGAACGGTTTTATGAACCGTCCCAATAGGCCTATTTGTAGTAACAGTTTTAGATTTTTTTTTTTAATATTGGAACGGGTATTTTGTTCCCTCCTCGTTTTCCCCCCTAAATTTTACTAAACCCGCCAATATAACCCATTTATCCTTTTATTTATTATATATTTTATTTTAGTAATTATAATAGCCAAATTAAAATTCCTCAGTCGACAGTTCCAAGGCTCAGCTCTCATCGCTAAGATGCTAACTCCTGCAAACTCTTGCTAACCAAAAATTCCAAATCATTGGTGAACGAAGGATCTGAAGAACAGGTGATTAAGATGATGAAACTCATGTCCTAAATTCCCAAATCCCCAAATCCATTTGTTAACCAAAAATCCCCAGATCTCGATTGCTAACCCAAAACTCCTAAATCCCCAAAATCCCAGAATCCATTTGTTTCACTCGAAGGATCTGAAGAACAGAGGAATAATTTAAAGGCAGCGATTACAGGTGAAGAATATTTCAATCGCCAGAAAGTTTCGACCCAAAAGGCAATCAGTGAGAAATCAACTTCAGGTAATTTTTCTTTTCTAATTTGGGCATTATCTTCTATAATCGTTATTTTTTCTTTAAGATTTATGTTTTAGCAGTGTATATGATTTCTTGCTTTCCGTTGACGTTTTGAACCCAAAATTATTTGGGTTTAATTTTCATTTGGGTATGGCTAACGTGGGTCAGATTTTCTTTCGGTGAATTCTTATTTGAACTAAATTTCCTGTTGCATGAGCTATTAAGCTGGGTAGTTTGGGTCTAAGTTTGTTTTTAATCTGCACATAGAATTAGGAGTATCATGATATGACTTACTTTTACATTTTTTTCGTCAGTTGTTTTCATGGCTGCTGGCTAAGTGCCTTTCGCATGGTTGTTTCTTTGACGAGTAGTTGCCGGACTTCGTGTAGAGCAGTCGATGATGATAATCATGAAAATCAGCCCTGGGAAGAATAATAGCATATTATGACATGCTTCAATTTTGCAGGATTTAGAATCTGGTAACATTATTGTAGATACTGAATTAATTGAGAGAGATTTGGGATCCTTTTGTTCGGTTGTTGAGGCCCAACCTTTCTCCAACGTCCTCTTCTGGTTCAGTTGTGCTGCATTTTAAGGTAGAATATCAAATTTGTGATCTAACAAATATTGTTTCCTACCCTCTACATGTTTGTACTATATGTTTATCTGAATGGAATGAAGAGACTGATATGGAACATACCAAATTTGGTGTTCCTAATTAGCTGCGCTTTGTATCAATTTGGTGTTTCCTGCCCTCTACATGTTTGTACTACATATATCTTGCAATTTGCATCTAGCATTTACTAGTATTGGATGAGGTATGTGTATGTATATGTTTGGAGTGGTGGTGGTATGAGATTGTGACTATACTTGCTGGATAACAGGAATATATAACATTAGGAAACATGACATACACTATTATACAAAACTACAAGGTATGACAAGGCAAGAAAATCAATTCAAATAAGATCTAAACGATCCAGTTTGGCGGAGGTTAGAGAAAGGACGAACATTATAAATTGAATATTTACCAACAAGTCAAGCACAGTGGCCTAAATTTATCTCTAATCTGTCCAATTTGTTGTTCCTAGCGTACTAGGAGAATCTTGCACGTGAATCTGTCAAAGTCTATCCTTTTCTGTATTTTTGTAGTCTTCCATGAAATACCTCAATTGTCAATGTCATGAAATATCATTGCAATGCAAACATTCAAATATTAGACTAGTGTTTTGTGCAATCAATATTACTCTCTCTAACAAATTCTCTAGTCCACTTTTCAGTTCTACATTAAAAAAAAATGATTCTTCCAAGTCATACAGAGAATTTTCAGTTGTGCTACTCTTGTCACTTGTATGTGCTCAAGTATACTGCTTTTTTATCTTTACTGGCCTTCTTTTTGCCACCCTATGCTCTCTGCTCATCTACATTCAGGTGGGAGGCAGTGAAACTGACAGAATGTCACTGCTTGCGTTCAAGAATATGATCATTCGTGATCCCTTGAGGATCATGGACTCATGGAATGAAACCATCCATTTCTGTGACTGGCCTGGTGTTTCTTGTGGTCGCCGTCACAGACGAGTCACTGTTTTGGATCTTAGTTCTCTGAAACTGAGAGGTACTTTTTCACCAAGTATTGGAAATCTGAGCTTTCTTCATGTCCTTGAGCTCCAAAATAATAGCTTTTCAGGTGAAATCCCATCAGAGCTTGGCTATTTACATAAGTTACAGGTTTTATGCCTTGACAATAACTCATTCACTGGTCATATTCCTTCAAACATTTCTGGTTGCTTCAACCTTTTTTCTGTTGTTCTTTCATATAATATGCTGGTAGGCATGATTCCAGCAGAATTAGGCACCTTGTCGAAGCTTCAAGAACTTTTTCTTGTTTCTAACTATTTTATAGGAGGTATTCCGCCTTCTTTTGGTAATCTTTCTACACTTGATACATTTTTGGCAAGCAAGAACAATTTGGTAGGCAAAATACCTGATGAGTTATGTCAATTGCCCAACTTAAAGTACTTTGTAGTAAACGAGAACAACCTGAGTGGAACCTTGCTTCCTTGTCTTTTCAATCATTCATCTATGGTAGCCATTGATGTTGGAACAAATCATATAGAAGGGAATTTGCCTCCATTGTTTGGTATTACACTGTTCCCATGGCCTTAGCTGGCTGTGTATCTGCCAAGGTAAGTCTTCCATCTTTTTCTGCTGAAACTGTGATTGCTTCTAGTATAGGAAAGAACAGATAAATAATTTAGAAAAGAATGAAGGGAATTTCAGAAGTTGTTATCTGTTGAAACAAGTAAGAGTAGAGACACTTGCTTGCACTTCATGTAATGTTCACTTGCTGACTGATTAAATGTTCACTTGCTTGCTACATTTTCAAGGATTGATGCAATAAGGTGAGCTTATGGTGTGTCAGTCACCCAAAAATCTGATGAAATTACAAGTTTGTAGTGTTGGTCCATTTGGGAGTTGTGGAATTTGATAATGTGGTTCTTTTTTAATTGCAACAATTGCAACAAATGTTGATTACTGGAATGCTAACCTATATTGTTGGTTTTGCTAACCTATTTTTGTTTGGCAAGTGTTTGGTTGGACTGCTGTAGTTTACTAGTTTATGATGTTTGGTATTAAGTTGCCTCTGTTTGGTAGGTATTTGGTCGGACTGTTGTGCTGCTCTTTATGGTTTTTCAGTTTTGATTCTTAGGATTGAATTGTTTTCCATTAAAAAAATGAACTGAGTAAAAGAGAGAGTGTGAGCACGTGATTTTTGCCCTATATGAAATACTCCCATAGTTTCAAAACAAAATAATTTCTTTTATTTATTTGCAATTTCTTTTGTTGATTTTCGTGGCATTTTCTGTTAATTGTTTGCATTTTTTTGTGCACTTTAATTCATAAAAATACAACAAAAAAATGTGTTGCATGTGCATTTAGGAGTTAATTTTGCATTTTAAGAATTATTCAATTTAGTTGCGTTATAAAAAGGAAAAATCACAAAAATAGTTTAATTTGCACTCTTTAATTTTTAGATTTGATTTTGAGTAGTTTTTGGTTAATTTGCCTTGGATTAATGGTGTTAATTGTCATTTTAGGTTTAATTAGTTTTTTTTAGTTAATTAAGTTCTAGGAATTGACTTTGATTTTAATTAAATTTTGAAAAGAAAGGAAAAAGAAAAGGAAAAAGAATTGTGAGATAATTTGTTTTGAAATAAAAGGAGAGAAATGAGAAATGTTGGGCCGTTCTTCAAAATAAAAAACAGAGGCCCAATTTCCCTCACACCCCTCAGACCCAGCCCAAAAACCCACTCCAACCCGGTCCGTTCCCCAGCTAAACGACGCCGTTCAGAGACCAAACGACCCCGTTCCGTCAAGGTTAAATCTCGACCATCGAGGTTTCCTAGATCTAACGACTATGAAGTAGGGGTACACCTGATATATTAGTGTCTGAACCCTCTTCCCCCCTACCCCCTCATCTCTCTTCAACCCTAGAGACAGCCCCACCGCCTCCGCTGTCTGTCGCCGCCGGAAATCGCCTACGGCGGCGGCGAGTCACCAATCCCCACCAGATTAACACCACAGAATCCTCATGACCTCCACATCCCAAATCAACAAACACTTTCCCTCGAATCACCCTAGAAATCTTCGAATTTTAAATCAAAGGTGTGAACCCTAAAATCCCAAACCCCAAATCGGTTGTATTTAATGAAGGTTTAAGGCCGAAATTGGCTCTATTCGTGTGTTTTCGTTTGAAAACACACGAGTAAGGCTTATTTCGTTCAAAATCGGAGTTCCTGTGAAGATTTTCAAGACTTTTTCCACTTGGTTTAGGTAATTTTCAGTCCGTTTCTTTTTCATTCATTTTTGTGTTCCTTATTTTGTTTATTTTAAGTTCTAGTCTCCGTCTCCTCTTACTTCTTCTGTCCCGTTTGTTTTCATTTTTAATTAGTCTGTTTAAGTGTTTTCAAATCGAGTTTGTTCAGGCATGTCGTTTTAGTTTCTTTGTGTTATTCCATGTGCCTGGTTTTTCAAAGAGAAGAAGTCTGATTTTTTTTCCCTTTTAGGAAATTCTGTTTAGCCCAATGATTTCATACGGGCTATGAAATTTGAAGCCCAGGAAAGAGATTCAATTGGGTTTTACAGGGCCTGGATTGTGAATTAAACCGTTGGGTCAATTTGACCCTTGACCCAGGTTGGTTTGGTTTTCAGTAATATCAGGGGCACTTGGGGGGTAGTTTAGGTATTTGGGGTTAGGGAATCTTTAATAACTGAATAGGAATCTTCTAGTGAGGGGTCCTTTTTGAATTTCAGAAATATGAGAGGTAAAACTTGGATAGCAAGTCAATAATTTAGGGTCACCTAAGCTAAAATAAAAATTCAAAAAGGGGTAAAGGGTAAAAACTGAAATCTGAAGCTTGCCCTAATGACTTGCCTATAAAGGCATTGTGTACTTGCCTTGCAAGTCAGTTTTTGGAGAGTCTAAAATTGAGAGCAAAAGGAATTTTGGCAGAGATTTTTTTAGAGAGACTTTAGAGCCTAGAAGGCAGCCAAGAGCTTGAATATCCTAAAAATCTGAGAGGAAATTGAGATCTAAGAAATCAAAAACACAAATGGTTTGAAACTTTGCTTCACTATTCCATAGAATCTCAGCATTCTTCTACTTTATTAAGTTTCTGGAAACTAGTATGCAGTGATGGGACTTTGAGCTAGTTTGGTGTTGTTTGGAAGGCTTTTGTGATCAGATCGTTGAAAAAAATTACTGTTCCATTGGTTTTATGTCAATTTATGGTTTCATTCGCTAAAATTTGGGTTGTCATTGCTGCTGCCGAGCTTGCTGACTCTTACCTCTACCTTGTTTATTTCTTTTCCAGGTATATCTTGATCCTTATGGGTGCTGTTTGATATGTAACCTGAAGTATGAGCTGAGGATCAGTTATAACTCGGTTTTATAATCATTATATAGCTTCAAAGTTTTGTTTAATGTAATGCATGGTTGTACTTGATAATTAGATCATGTTGTTTTAATTATTAGAGTCTGCAACTAGATTTGGGATTGCCTTTTAGCTTAGGACGGTTGAAGTTGCCCGTTGATTGTGATGAAGTAGTTTAGCAGTAGTGGGAGTAATAGTTTGTCAAATGACCTTTGGTTGAAATTTTGTATATAATGTGGACATGGACTTGGTATTCTGGATATCTCGTTGATTTAGTTTTCATTTCAGGATCATTCGAAATAAATTCAAAGCATGAACAGGCTATATGATTAGTATGTTAGTTATGTGGAAACGGCTAGATTTTAAATGGTTTGTAGTTAAACTCCAATCAGTTTTTTTATGTTCAGTAATTGTAGGTTAATTCGACGAATATTCGATGCTAGACTTACAGGGATATGGGCTCCCTTGGGCCAATAATTAATGAACAGGCCTGTTTGCCCCTTTGTGAGCGTGTAGACGCTTAGGCATTGAGTTAGGGGTTATCTCGTGATTCTTGGGCCATAGGCCCATTTGGTTTGGACCTTGTCAAACTGTTAGACCTGGGGTTGGTATTGTAGCCATTTCTGATTGTCCTTTGAAAGATAAAAATATGCTTACAGTGCTTACACTAGTATTTATTATTTCATGACCTAGATGTAAAAATGACTAATATTTTGTAGAATATCCTTTAGGACCGTTTAAAATACCAAGTGTGGTTGCGTATACGTCCACGTAACACAACTACACTTCTAAAAACAAAATCGGAGTATGCGTTCGCGCAACTTCGGCCCAAACTTTTCTTAATAATAATTAAGCGTTATTAATTGTGAAAACGTTCGCGTGACATGATTTTTGACGCACCAAACGGGCGGGTATACGTACGCGTAACCCGTTTCAAGATAATTTTTCTAATTAAAAGCGGTGAAAGAAG